GAATTGCAACAGTCACTTGCACAGGAGAGAGAACCGGAGAAAATCATAAAATGCAATGACATAAAACCAGAAGTAGAGTGACTGTGGCAAAAGAAAACAAAGATAGTATCAATAGTAATAGGTGCCTTGGGTGTATTCCTAAAATATTTGGAGTACCACTTGAACATCATCAGCATTGACAAAATCATCCCCAGTCAATTACAAAAGGCAACTTTATTTGGAATAGCTTACCTCCTGCAATTATACTTTTAACTCCACCACACAACAACGTTTGCCTACCCCAGGTCCAAGGGAAGAACTTGATGGATAAAAATGTTCTAAACACCTGGCTGATTGTTAATGAACAACAACAACAACAATAATAATAATATACATTGTTTCCCCTGGTCCTGAAGCACATTAATCCAAGGTCTTGATTAAAAGTCTCTATTGAGCCTATTGGAGGCAAATTTAAGGAAAGGGGAAGAACAAATATATTTTGTTTTCTGCTTACAGATTCAATAGAGAGTAGAGCAAACTATCATATAATCTTAACATGGTTAAACATGACTACAAAGAATTTTTCTCACCAGAAAAGAAAGGAGAAACTGCCTAATTGTACCAAACAATATGCTAACAGAAGAACTGTCATTTTGGCATATTGCCGCTGCTATAATCAAGAAGGGACTGTTGATTAAGAATCATTGTTTATATTTCTTGCCATGTGGCAGGTAAAGCTACCTTCAGATTCTCCAGAGATTGACGAACATCTCCTAGACTTGGGATGGTATATACCTCCCACTACTGGATGTACACAAGACAGCAAGAGCTTCTAAAGAGCAGGAGTTGCCCAAACCTCAGATGGGTTCTTTATTCTATTCATTCTTCTCCTTTCCCTTACAATATTTCTTTGTTACATTCTGATTTGTGAGAAGAGAGGGGCATTTATTTCTTTAACTGCAACTGTCCCTCTCTTGTTCAGGTTTCTCCAAACTGCAGTGGATTTGGATGCTCTTTATGAACTTCCCTCTTAAAACTTCTGACCTAGAAAGCTTGCTGGAGGCCAACTAGCTTTTTCTGTTGGTGCAGCCAGAACACCCAATAAGGTTGCCTACCACTACTTGAGAATTCTGAAGGAGAACTTTTACTTCCCTTATTTTTCATGTTTGATATACCAGCTGATAGGCGGGGGGGGGGGAGCAGTAATGCTCTGAATATCCCTTAAGGCCCCCACCAAAGCATCTATATGGAGGAATTGCAGGAAATTAAAATGGCAGCTACTAGTCCCAGCTACATTTTAATCCCCCTGGCATTGGAGGCATAGAACCAATTTTAGTTGCCTTACACTTGACAATGGGGTTGTGAGGGAATGTAGTTCTTACCTTGGCAATAAGAAATGAAATTCAAAATAATCTCACCCTCATTTTGTTTAGTATAAAACAGGATGCAGAGAGACTTGGACAAGCTTTCCAGAAGCTATTATTCTATCCTATACAATGAAGGACATTCCTGAAACTCTTGCTTTGACCTTGTCTACCTCAAAGAGCTGACAGACACTGATACCTAAGTTCATTGGATAACAAATAAAACCTTATGCAATGTGTGAAATGGCTCTAATGGACAAGAGAAAACCAGAATCTGGACATTTCTTTGAATCATCAGTTGCTGATATAATAAGGCAATATTTCCCTTATACATTTATTAGGACTACAAACACCCATAATAGCTCCTCAGCAGGGAGATTAGTTATGTGAGATGGGAATCTGAGGAAAAGGAGTCAGATTGAAGAAGGCTCCATCTTTCCCTCTTGTCAACTTAACTGCAACATGGTAATAACTGTACAATGTACAATACGATGACGTTTACAATTCTATCTAACGTCACTTGTGACCATTGAGGGAAGGCTGAATCTCAGCCAGTTTTATTATTGTTTCACTAATGAAGGGACCTCAACGACGATATAAACAAACTCCCTTTGAAAATTGTTCAGTTAGAGATGATGATTCAAATATTTTGGGTGTCAATGTCTATTTCACAAATGCAGCCTTCATTGATGAACAGCTACATATTAAATAGGAAAAATGGACAGGAAATTCAGCATCAAATCTCACTACAGTCTGCTACACTATCAAAAAGCAAGGAAGATCATACTATATATATTCATATAGTCCCTAGTTTTTCCCTCCTTGGAGTTCTCCAGATCTGCCTTATTAATCCAGAAATGATATGTACTGCCTGTTCCTGTAACGGTTCCCTCAAAGAAACAAATGTGTTTGGACTTCAATTAAACTAAGACCAGAAGCCCAAATCCTGAAAATCCTCCCTCCTCTCCAAAATTCCCTTGCCCTTTCTATAGGATCTTGCTGCCCCGGGTAGGGGTAGGAAAAGGGAAGGGTGCCCCTGGATATAAAAACGATCTAGCTAAAGTATCTGCTCTGATTAGCAGCACCTCTACTAGAGACATGGGAGCACTTCAGAGAGGTCACTTACTTTATCTAGGAAACTGGAGGCTAAAACAGATAAAGAACGGTTGCTGGAGTTAGATATGTCTAGTTTAATGTAAAGAAAGACTAGGGGTGACATGACAGTGTTCTAATATCTAAGGGGCTGCCCCAAAGAACAGGGGGTCAATCTATTCTCCAAAGCATCTGAAGGCAGGACAAGCAATGGACGGAAACTAATCAAGGAGAGAAACAACCTAGAATGAAGGAGAAATTTTCTGACACTTAGAACAACTGGTCAGTGGAACTGCTTGCTTGCAGAAGTTGTGGATGCTCCAACACTGGAGGTTTTTAAAAAGAGATTGGACAACCATTTGTTTTAAATGGTATAAGATTTCCTTTCTGAGCAAAAAGACTAGAAGATCTCCAAGGTCCTTTCCAACTCTGTTATTCTATTATTTGTGGTTTACAAAATATTAGCAAATGAAAACAGTTTTGATGGATCAGAAGGACCTACAAAAGTCCAGCAAAATCAAGTTGCATATAAAGTTCAGCTTACTGGCTATGCTTTTTATTTCAAACTCAATTCAATTCTAGAATCTCTCAGAGCAATTTACTGTATCACACGTGTCAGCTCAGGCATCTCCCATTTCTAACATAATGTCTTACTTAGGCCTCTTTGCATCCTATATGGGGAAAGCCTGTGTAGCTTCTGTTCTTAGCTGCATGGAGAAGCCAAACTTTTATTCACTCCCAAGAATCTAAGAGTGAAATAGCCCAAAGACAGCCTTGCAGGTAAACTCTTAAAGTATCTATATAGACTATTATCTGAACAGAAATCTATATAGGCCACAGAAACTGACCAATTGTTGTTGTTTTTTGCATATTGGCACTTGAAAAAGATTATTGGGACTCTTGTCTAATTTTAAATTACAAGAATAAAAGAATAATCATTTGGGGAGGGGGGAATGAAAACTAATGTGAGGAATCATGGTATCTTCCATTTTGATCAGTTGGTCCCTTCACGGATTTTTGGAAGTAATATTTCCCAACAGCTGTTATAGGAGTGTTTTTCCCTTCTATCAGAAATTTCACTAATGGATTGCAAATAAATTTTGGGCTTGTGTCACAGGGCTGCGTTTCCTTCTGATGAGTTTTGGCTATATGAAGTAGCTAAGTAGTTAAAAAACCAGGATAGAAACTGGGAGTCTAAGTTCTAGTTATATCCCAGGCAAGGAGCCAGTCACCTCGGGCCAGTCTCTCCCCCTTTCAGCTCGAGGAAGGAGGCAATGGCAAACTACTTCTGAAATCTTGCCAAGAAAACTGCAGGGACTTGCTCAAGCAGTCACCAGGAATCATGGCTGTCTTGAAGTCAACCAACCAACCAACCAACCAACCAGTTTTATATCTAAAAATATCCAACTGCCTCTTCCCAGTTCCTTCTTGCTTGCCTATTGGATGACTGGGAGGACTCAATTACTACTGGTGGTAATTAAGTGCCTTGAGATTTTTAATCCTGTTTGTGTTTATTTTTTTATTTTTGTTTGCTTCCCACTTTTTTTCTTGTGAAGAAATTCAGGATAGCAGAAATTGTGTTCCTTAATAGTCTTCTTATCTGACCATTGGCCAGAGCAGACTAGACTGTGTAAGCAGGACTGTCCTAGAAATATCTGCAGGCTGGCCATGTATGTTCAAGTTGTGACCTCTTCAGTTAAAAGCACTAAGTAATGTGCAAATCTCCTGTATGCCATCAGAGGAGATACTCCAAACAGCTTGATCTAAGGCAACCTCCTTGACTAAATCTCCCTTTAAGAGGATCTCAAATAACAAAATTGGGCAAGAATTCTCCAAAGAACTGGAGGACTGCTGCCAGGCTCAAAATAGCCAATACTTGGCTCAACTGGACCACTTCTCTCTGGCAGCAGAAATGGATGAGCTCAGAATAAAGGTGGCAGAGTTGCCTTCAACTCCCAAAACGCGAGTAATGATTTTACCTATTTTGTATGTAGGGACAAGAAACCCCACCGAACTGGCATATAAACAACCAATTTTCTGCATCCTTTCTGTCCCATCTTCTGTATCCCAGAAACCTGTTCCTAGGCTGCCCACACCGGGTCAGAAAGGAAGACTTGCTAATTTCAAAGGGATTCACTTCAGCGGACTTGGTTAGTTTTGCAACCGGTAACTTCCCGGTTGAAGGGCGCATCGGCAGAGTTGCCCAACGCTATTAAAAATGCACATTTCCCCCTCTAAATCTGCATCCTCTGCATTTACTCTTCCTTGGATGGTCCTACATTTCTTTTATTCTCCCTGAACGAAGATCGGCAAGCCATCAATACAATTCCTCCAAGCCATTCCACGCACACCCGAAAATTTAAAAAATAAATAAATATGAAAACCGCACGCGTGCAAACCACTCCCGCGACGCGACCTCCTGAAAGATCATCCCACGCGTTCGCACGAGCGGGGAGCAGCCCGTGCAACCTGTAAAACATTGCACCGCGCCGCGTTGCTTTGCTTTCTTCTCCCACCGCGTTACCGCAAGGGCTGGTGAGAAAAGGAGAATCTGGAGCGTCTTACCTGCGTCGCTCCAACAACGGGCGTGCGGCGAGGTGGCGAAGGGATTCCCTTCCCGTGCAGGCAGAGCTGCCAAGGGAGGCGGCTCGGGAGAGCGAGCGGCAGCAACTCCCTCCAGAAGAGGCGCAGTTGCAGGTTAACCCCGCGCCTTCGCCCGGCTCCTCGAGTCACGGCGGGCTCTCCCCCCCCCCCCCGCCGCCCCCGCTTTCCCTCCCTCCTCGATGTTTTGGACCGACTTTAAAAGTTTCAGCTACCGTCAGCATCCGTTTAACGCCCCCTACCGATCTTCTTCGGAGTTAACCCTTTCTGTCGAGAATTTGGTAACGGGTTAGAGGTGGAATGATATCCTGGGCTTTGCAAAGGAACGAAATCATATTTTAATATTTGCATGCTTGCTACCTGCAAGGTTTTTTTTTACTTTTGTTTTAAAACAAAGAGAGGAAATGGCATTCCTGATCTTTAATCTCTCTCAATCAGACCTTCACATAAGGAAAGTACAGCTAGTCCTCACCATTGTGCCCAAAATTTTATATTGCCAAGGGAGAAATTTGTTAATAGCAATAGCAGTAGCTCTTAGACTTATATACCGCTTCACAGTGCTCTGCAGCCCTCTCTAAGCGGTTTACAGAGTGAGCAAATTTTCCCCAACAATCTGTGTCCTCATTTTACCGACCTCGGAAGGATGGAAGGCTGAGTTCAACCTTGAAGCAATTGGACTCAAACTGCTGGAAGTCAGCCTGCAATACTGCACTCTTAACGACTGTACCACCACAGCTCTTAAATGAGTTTTGCCCCATTTTGTGACTTTTGTGACCACATTTGTTAAGTGAAATGCTGCAGTTGTTAAATTAATAAAATGGTTGTTAAATGAAACCAGGCTCAATAGCAATAATTGTGAGAGGGATCTTGGAGTCTTAGTGGACAACCAGCTAAACATGAGCCAGCAGTGTGCAGCCGCCGCCAAAAAAGCTAATGCAATCCCAAGTTGCATTAACAGAGGGTTACAATCGAGATCAAGGGAGATACTAATACCACTCTATAAAGTCTTAGTAAGACCACACCTGGAGTACCGCATCCAGTTTTGGTCACCACATTATAAAAAAGATGTTGAGACTCTAGAAAAAGTACAGAGAAGAGCAACCAGGATGATTAGGGGGCTGGAGACTAAAACATACAAAGAACGGTTACAGGAATTGGGCATGGCTAGTCTAGTGAAGAGAAAGGCCAGGGAGACATGACAGCAGTCTTCCAATATTTAAGAGGCTGCCACAGAGAGGAAGGGGTCAAGCTATTTTCTAAAGCACCCAAAGGCCAGACAAGGAATAATGGATGGAAACTGAACAAGGAAAGATTTAACCTGGAAATAAGGAGAAACTTTCTGACAGTGAGAACAATTACCCAATGGAACAGCTTGTCCTTGGAAGTTGTGGGAGCGTCATCACTTGAGACTTTCAAGAAGAACTTGGAGTGCCATTTGTCAGAAATGGTGTAGGGTCTCCTGCTTGGGTGGGGGGTTGGACTAGATGACCTACAAGGTCCCTTCCAACTCTGATTATCTGTTATCTGGTTGAGCATGCTATAGAGAGATGGGGCATTGCCTCCAGAAATCATGGGCACTCCATCACTGGAGGTTTTTAAGGAGAGTCTAGAGATAGTCACTTGTCTGAAATGGTATAGGTTCTCTCGCTTGACTAGAGACCTCCAAGGTCCCTTCCTGCTCATTCATTCATTGCAAGTGAATCTAGTTTCCCCGTTGACTTTGCTTGTCAGAAGGTTGCAAAAGGTGATCACATGACCCCCCCCCCCCCCAGGACACTGCAACAGTTATAAACATGAATCAGTTGTCAAGAATCCATATATAAATCACATGACCATGGGGATGCTGCAACAGTCATAAGTGTGAAAAATGGTTAGAAGTCATTTTTTTCAGTGCCGTAACTTTGAGCGGTCACTAAGCGAACTGTTGTAAGTTGAGAACTATCTATATTTTACTTATTTGCAGAGGAATTCTATCCACACCACTATCTTAATTACTGTTGATGCAATCTACCAGCATATTAATAGAATATGAGTTTATTTTCCTCTAAAATTCCAGAGTTTGGAGAAAAACTCAGGTACTCTTTTGCTCAAATATCTGCAAAGCAAAGCAAAACAGTGGGTGGGCTTTGAAAGAATGAAAAAACAGTAAAAATAAATTGCAAATGGGATCAGAAAAAGTGCTGTAAGAACAAAACTGAATAAGCAAGGCTGATCGGCACCTGGAACAGCACATCAAGGCCTGTCCCCCTTGTTAAGAGCCATTAATCAGGACTGTTAGGTTCACTCGATCTTGCAAATTCAGATACTGGATGATGGATTGAGAAATCCGGAGTTCTTTTGCCTTCCTACTGGTTGGCATTTGGGAGCCAGCATGAACATCTGGCCAACCTGTTGACTTTGGAAGGCAAGAATGCCCTATTTCCCACTTTCCTTCTTTTGGGGTTCCCTCCTGAAGTCAAAGGGTCGTGGGATTTTGCTGTTCTGTCTCCATGATCGCTTAGTAGAAGTAGTTTTGCTGCTGTCCTGGATCATGATTGCTTTTCCTCCCTGCCAAACAAGTGGGGTGAAGCAAGAATTGTGGCTGAGTTGTGTGCACTTCAATTCACAGCATGCTGGCTGGAGAATTCTGGGAATGAAAGTCCACACAACTTAAAGTTGTCAAGGTTGAGAAACATTGGGACAGGGAGTAGCTTTGCTTTCTTGTGGGCAATAATGATGAGGATGGTGTGTCACATGGGCAGTCCTGAGGGCTTGGGAGCAGGAATGTCTGCAGGAGGGATTTAAAAAAAGACTAGATGGCAGCCACCATCAAGGCTGTCATTTTGATTTTTCATTCTTTGCCTCTTTTCTGCAGATATTCCTCTTCAATGATGAGAATGGAGAACATGTAGAAAGGCCTAAATTAATTTTGTTAAATCCAACAGGGTTGTTAATTCTGCTTTTAAATCTGATAGTCTGAGGAGCATTCATTTTTAAGTTTATTTCTTTTCTAAGACTTTTAGAAAAACAGAATTAAAACTCAAAACATGAGACATTCACAAATTGATATGTCATTTTTAAAGCAGGAAGGCCAACCCATGATCTGTAAGCTGCCTCCAGCCTCAACCTCCTTCTGAGAAATCTGCATCCTGTCTTATGTTCTGCCAAAATCCTGGAGTAAAATACCAGTTGTCCATAGTGTCCTTTTGCCTCCTGTATATGGTTAAAAATACCTGTAATGAAACCTCTTCAGAATCCCCAGTCTTCAATATGTCAGTTCAGCCTAATGACATCATTGTATCATCAGCAATGTAGTTTTCAGAGACCATTAAAAAAAAGGAAAGTGCAGCTTTTGAGTCCAAATGTTGTTTGTGCCTGTCTTAAACTTTTGTACAAGAATTGCTTCATTTATGATTACACTGAGTCAATGTACAAAAAAATCTTTCCACCTTTGCTCTGCTGTGTCATCAACATTACTGTTGGAAAATCATTGAGTATACCTTAAAATATAATGTAAAATGCAATAGAAGTAACATGAAACAAAGGCTATAGCAAGTAACTACATAAGTACAGCAGAAAATGGGATGGGTAAAAGGAGACAATTTTAGTGCTTCTGTCTTGAGTGGTCCTTAATAAGAGCTTTAAACATAAGGCTACATTTCTAGCTTTGAAAATAGTAGGCTTTAACTGTGGCAGAATGGATTTCATGTCTTCTAGTGTCAGGATGTACAGGTTTTTTTTTAAGATGCAGCAGAGCAGAGAGTTCAATGGAGCACACATGCTTGGAACTAAATTCCATTAATGTATTATTGAATAAATATTTGACTGAATCATTTAAGTAAGAAAAAATGAAATATTTTTACACACTGTATTTATTGTGCCACAGATTTATTTTAATAGTACCTACTTATTTAGCATGTACTTGGCAGTGAATATAAGATGTTCTTAAAACTTCATTTTACAATTATATATATTGTATATCAGTCTTCAGGGCCTTCTTATAATATAAGAAAGTCCTCAGGCTGGAATTTCATTTTCTGTGCAACATAAAAGGTTCAAGACACTTTCACAAGATGTCTTATTATTACCATATTTGGTAGGATATGTCTCTTTATGTCATATATTTAAGTAGCTTAAATGTACCAGCATAAGCTTTTCCTGGTGTAGAGATAAGCAATGGGCAAAAACTTTGATGGGAATTGGACTCCACATCTTAGCCAGCATACATTGATAAATTCTGTTCAATGTACAAAAATATGAATGAATGTGAATATATATTGGAGATCTGATTTTAATCTTGCAGCAATTCCCCAGAGAATCCTACAATCTAACAATTGCTAAAAGATTAAAAAAATGCACCAGCAAGAGATGATTTATATTTCCATGTGCCAAATTATTGATTGACAAATAGATATATTGCATTATGTCATTTAAATAGAAACACATTAGAACATAGTAGGTGTTTGTGATCTGCTGAACTCCATTTTCCCCACACCTATGTTAAAATGCTTTTTCTATGCCTTGTTCAGCAGAACATTAAGCCAGCATACTTTGTACTGCCCACATTACTGAATGAATCTAGAGAGCAGGGTGTGTCTTTTAATGACCTGAACAAGTTAAAGAAAGCTATTGATTGGCACTCCCGGGGTCATTTGCTCTTTCATTAGTTATCATCAACAAGCAAGGAAAACATCGACTAACCAACCACTCCTAGGTTGGTTTTGATGGAGGCTGGAATGGCTGATTTAGCCATTCATTCTATTCTGAAATAGCTATAAACCAATGTTTAAAATAAATCTCTGGGAAGACAAGCAACAGAAATAAAGAAAAAAATATTAATTTTGGCAGGAATTATTGAAGTTCATCAGCAGGTCCTGATGGTAATAGGTGCTGAAGGAGACAGTGTCCATGGAAGAAAGTTCTTTGCTAGAAAAGGAAAGACACTGTGGCCAGAGGTTGGAACCTGGATTCAAGAAAAGATGGGTTGAGTTGCAATGAAAGAAGATGAGGAGGAGCTTTCAGTGAACTTGCCGTTTCCTAAAGGAATTATTTCAAAACTTCTCTTCCACACACTACTTTCCTCACAACTGGTATCCTGTCTTTATGCCCAAATCAAAATGACCATGGAAGGTATTGCTGAGCA